AAAGACATTTGATGCCAATGCAGTGACCACCATTGAGCTGAAGAATGAAGTTCTTCCATGTGACAGTAAATGCCCAACCCATGAGGCTTTGATCTGATGGTGTGAACCCTTGACGGGAACCTTGAGAGAGAAATAATACCCTTGTTTGAATTACTACAATTAAATACCACCCGCATTGTACAGTTTGCTTTATTAGGCAAAAGAACTGAGTCACATGATTGCAGTGCTTTTTTTGTCCCTTCTATTAGGGCAACAATCAACTGCCTTGGCTTTGAGCAAATGACCCACGTAAACTCAACTACACAGTGCTGGGAGGGAATGCTCAGAAGGCAATGCTTGCATGTTCTTTTCCATCAGCATCCTCTATGGTGTCCTGTGTACTGCCTTTTAGTGTCTAGTGTAGGACCACCCCTCAGAGGGAAACTGACAGGCCTTAGCAGGGGTGGGGGGTGGGATGGGGTATGTGTGTGTGTGTATTCTGAGGCCAGCAGAGAGGCCAAGGAGACATCCTGACCCTTTAGATGGGCTGGAACTGTGAGTCTGTGCTTTTCCAAGGTGTGTTGTCACCCCCAGTGCCCACAATACTCCCTCCTGAGATTCCATAGAAGAGAAGGTTAGTGGAACTAAATGAAGAATGTGATCCTACACCTTTCTCCCCTCCCCTCCACCCCACTCCACCCCACCCCAGTAAAGGATATCATGCAGAACTCTGCTTCCTGAAAGAAGGTAGTCACAAGTTGAGGCCCACATTTGTGCCTGGGGGCACTTAAGTGACCATAATCCAAGTAGGTGGAATCCAACTAAAGGACATCCATCTTGCTCAGCTGATGAGAGACTTCCAAGTTTAGAGATAACTTGAAGCAGCTAGAATGTTTGGGACAAGATACTAGAGAGCTATAAAATCATAAACACAAAAATTCCAAAAAACAGAATTCCAGATGGCTCTTAGAGACATGAAAATAATGCTCAATCTTGTTAAAAACACACACACTTTTAAACTGTCTCCAATCCACTTGGCAAAGATTTCTAACCAGATAATCACCCCTTCAGAGCCATACCCCTAATGTATGCACAGTGGAAGATAAAAAGTCAGTCCCCTTGTGTAGGAGAAAGGTGGTCTCCACTGAACGGACGTCCTAGAGAGTGGCGATGAGTCAATTTATCATACACAACATTGACTAATACTAATGGATTCATATACATCAGTTACCATAAAGATTTAAAGGATCAAAATCAACTAAATCAGCATTAGGCTGCTAACCACAAAGTTGGTGCTTCAAATCCACCATATTCACCTTAAACACCACACAGAGTTGCTGAGTCAAAACTAACTTGAGGACACGTAACAGCCTTTGACAAATGCTTTCCAAATGATGCAAATGAAAAGCATGTAAAGCTAGGGTTTTTATATTGACTGAAATTCAGAATATTAAACATAAGTAAATTTTCACTGTGCATGCATGGACATTCTGCTGATGTACCAAGGGTATTGAGGTGGATAATAAACACCTATAGAATTCACTCAAATATATTTTCTTGCCTTCATTTTAACAAAAATCATTATGTTATGATCAGTAACATAACATTAGTTTGCATCCTGATATATTAAATATGAGATGTACTGAAAGTGAATATATTTTTTTAAATATATAAATTAAGTGTAAAAAATGGAAACGTAGCAATTATTTCTCAAGTTCCCAGAGTTATTTTCCTCTAAAATAAGATGTAAAATTAAAAAGCAAAGCACAAAGTATAATTAATGAACATATTTTAAAGCTTAAATCCAGAATTTTATCTTTTTCAGAACTTCATGAAACCCAACACATTTTAATAAAAATCATATGCAGTGCTGACCTTCAGAATCCCTGTGGTTGCCAATCGAAGGTATCACGTACTTGTCAACGGGCTGTTGAGTCAGTTCTGACTCAGCAATCCCCATATAGGATTTCCTAGAGCAGCTGGTAGGTTTGAACTGGCGACCCTGTGATTAGCAGTCAGTCTGGTGCTTATCCTACAATGCCACACCAGGACTTAGTGTGCACTACGGGCCTAAAAAAGTTCAGGGAAAAATTCTGTTATCTTTCAAAATAATTGTTCCATGAACCCCTTTTTATATTCAAATTTAAGAGTAAGCGGACATTTATGATTGCAGAATGTTCCTCAAGAACTTTTACAACCGCTGTGAAACGCTAATTAATGAACCACAAACTGGAACATGAGGAAAAACAACAAAAAAGGGAAGGCTGGGTGTTTGGCACTACAGGGATATTCACTAGTGAGTGAGTGTCATTTCTCTGCTACTGTAGCAGGAAACCTACTCCCAGGCAGTGGATCTGGCTCTAAAGAGTCAGCAGAACCGTCAACCTCCAGTATTTAGATACAGTTACCTTGTATTTCAAAGATATGGGGGAAGGTGGTGTGAAGTGTTTCTGGGGGCCAGTAATCCTCAAGGATGGCAGGTGACTATGAGCTGTCACAATGGTCCGGTGTGAGTGCTGTACCCCAATTGACAGGTACCTATGTGTTCTTGGACAATTTGTTATGAGGTGGTGGTTGTCTTTATGTGCCTGAGTCAGTTTTGAGGCAGCAACCCTGTATAGAGTTCCAAGGAGCAGCTGATGAATTTGAACCACTGACCTTGCAGTCCAGTACATTATCCCATAGTGCCACACCAGGACTTGTTGGGAACCTCTAAAGCAGGGGTTAGCAAACATTAAGCCCATAAGCTAGCCAACACTTGCTCTGAAATATGGGTTCCAGATAACGCAGCTAAAGTGTGTTTTACACAGGTGCATGTACAAGGATATTCACGCATCACTATTGGTAACAGGAGCCCAAGTAGCCATGGATGAGACTAGTTAATGGCTCACTGCAGCCAAACGTGGTCGTGGTGGTGGTGATGAGACACTCTAAAAAGCCCTGTACTTCTGAAATAACCTTCAAAATGATCTTGTTAAGTAGGAAAGACACAGAGCAGAACTTAAAACTGCAACCACTGGTTAGAATCTTTATGGCCATAAAGACATGGACTGAGACCATCCCTAACTACATACAAGGCAATTGGTGCCACCGCCCCCAACTTGCTCCATGTGAGGGCTTGAGCCTCTAAGTGACTGGCTGTTACACCTTGCTCCCACCACCCCCGTTTGCAATACCACTGAGGCTATTTTTGCCCCCACCCCTCAACCACCAGAGGGTCAAATTCCGATGGATTTTGGGGTGCCAACATCTCTCCCTACATGTTCCTTCCTTAACGCCCCTACCTTAGTGCCCCTGCATATATCGGGGAAATTGCTTATACATCGTTGTAATTTTTGTTGGTGTTGCCCGGAAAGGAGGGAAAGGCATTTTACTCTTAAATGGAGGCAGGGGAGACCCACATTGGATGCCCATTACCTTAGACAAGAGTCTGAACCACTATCAGGCAGAATTAGGGATAATAACTGCTGTGACTCCTTCGGAGACTTGATATGAGGAGGACTTCATGATAATCGGGTAAATACGAAAAGCAGACAAGTGCAAAGGTCATTAACACAGTGAACTCTGTTGCCACATCCTACAGGCATCGCCCCCCCTTCCCCCGCCCTTGGTGTCTAGACCCATCTCCTTAACTACCTCAGGTGACAGTGGTGGGGTCTCTTCACATACAGAGGCTCAACAGGCATCTGCTGTCTTAGGCTGTCAGTTGGGGCCTGATCTTGAAGTTCTGGGCCTGCTGCCTCCTTTCCTTCCTACCTGCGCCTCCACTGAACACCATCCATCCCAGGAGAGCCTTGGCCGGTGGGCTTCAGTCACTTAGCAAACATCTGAAGCTGGGAGGTAGAAGGAAGAGGAGTGCCGGAGGTACCACCACCTCCTGCCCCACCAGCCTACTCAAATCCATCCCCCCCTGGCCCATGGGGGCAGGGTTGCTGTTCTCCATACAGCACCTCGGTGAGAATTTAAAAATGACCCCTTTCACCAAGGACACAACCCATGTCAGGGTATGAGGCTTGATACCCTCATCTGGGCATCCTAGTGGAGTAATATCCTGAATGGAGACCATCATTTCCTTGCCTCCTGAGATAGGCCATTATTCTCCAACTATGTGGGTGCTGCCTAGACAGACCCTCACCTGGAGTTGGGGTAACCGCTGTCAAAAAGCAAATTCTCCTCTTGAAGCAGAAAGCGTTGGAGCTGGGAGGGGATGAACACCCACAGATCTAGTCTAGCCCTTTCATTTGGCAGATGAGACAACTGAAGTGAGGGCTAAACTGACTAGGGATCGTGAGCCCGCGCAGGACAAGCCTCCTTGCAGACAAGAGCCCCAGCATCTGTCACAGTCCCAGAGCGGTGACACCTACATAGGAGGGCTAAGGGCATATATGTGAGGGAACGTGAAAAAGAAGCTAGAGAGTTTTCAGGGCTAAGAAGAGGTAAGGGGTGGGAGGGATAGGCAAACCTTCCAGGACACCAGCCTTCCTAGAGCACTGGTCCTTAGTTCCTTTAGACAAACTTAACCTGTGTCTGTCTGTGGAGCTCCTCCCCAGTTCTCCCCAGAATTCTTGTAATCGGTTTGTCCCAGAAAGGGAAAAAAAGTAAGGCTGGGAAAGTAGGAGGAAGACAGAGGCTAACTCGAGTTTGTTCTGGAGCTGAGCCGAGCTGCAGCAGCCAGAGCATGCATGTCAGATCCTGCCTCTTAGATCTTCCCCAGAGACACACACAGACGCCGCCTGATGAGGAATGCAGCCGGCCCACACACACAGGGAGGTTTCTTCAACACAAAACAAACCTGGGCTTCCCAGATGCACCCCAAAACAGTGAGTATTCTGTGTCCAGTTTCTAGGACCTGGGGTGAGTGAGCACCTCAGCCAGAGGTTTTGGGTCCAATCGACTTTTATTAAATCCAGAATCCAGGCCTTGGCAAGGGGCAGCTGGGGTGCTCATGTGTTTTGGCGCTGACTCTACTGCAGGTGAGGGTTGGGGGTCGCAGAAAGGGCCGGTATCAACTGCATCCCCACTTAGTGCCCTATAGCCTGGAGGATTTCCAGGGCCAAGGAAGTCACTGTACTGTCGGCATACAAACTGTGGGGAAACACAAAGGAGAAACGCGGGTAAGGAATCTTCAGGGGAAAATGCCCTCTCTTATCCCTGAGGATGTGATTGATGGAGTGGCTCCTTTCTACGTCTGAAATGGGAAACGCCTAAGAAGCAGGAAATCCACATTGCGGGGTCATGAACTGAGAACCCCTCAGCCCTGAGTCCCCGAGCTAGGCCTGAGCTCCTGGCCCTGACCACTATGACATATCTGACCACTTTGTCTGCGACCACAGACCCTTCACATCCATGGCAGCCCAAAGCTCCTGCCCAGGGCTGGCCCGTGTGACATGTCCCCAGGCCCTCTCAGGCAGGACCCCCCTTCTCTAAACACTGACCCCTGTGTTTCATAGGGTCAATTCCCAGCCTGTCAGTCAGCAGTCTCTTATTCTCATAGACTGATGGACAACTCAGAGCTTACCATGGAAACTTGGCTGCCAGAACCAACTGTCTGAAACCCCTTTAAACCTGTGCCTTAACTGTGTGCAGGATAGTATACACCATTAGTATATATGGCTGCTCACCCAAAAACTGGAGGTTCCAGTGCACCCAGAAATGCTAGGTGGTCTACTTCCAATCAGCCACTGAAAACCCTATGGAGTACAGGTCCTCTCTGATACACACGAGATCACCAGGAGTTGGGAGTCGACTCCATGGCGACTGCCTGGCTGGAAAAACTGTTACCAGCCAAGGGTGCTCAGATATAGTACTGTCCGTTGAAGCATCAACTTAGCTTGTGACGCACATTAAAGACACGGGTTCTGGTAAAACTGCAGCTGTGGATCGTGGCTAGAGATGGTGCCCTGCTGAGTTCTGGTGAGGTGGAGCCAGGCTGCCCACCGCGCACACCAGGCCAGCCCAGAGGGCCGGGTGACCGAGAGCACTACACTTGTTCGTGGGGCCATCTGAACAAAGCCCAAACAAGATACCCTCACAGAACGAACACTGGCAACCTCCGTACCCAACACTAGGTTTGCCTGGAGCAGATGATGTAGTTGTCAAGTGTCTAGTGTGGGTGCAGGAGAGCCCACCGGCCTCACGGGACACTAAGCTTTGTGTTGTACACACTGGGCCCACATTTGAGACCAGCTCTTGGTTCCAAACCATCCCAGCATGGGGGTATGCTAGCTTAGGCCTAAAAGTAGACAGAGTCTCCTGCTTGATGAGGAAGACAGACAAACTGTGTCTGTCCTTGATGAGGAGGACAGACAAGGCAGGTGCCGAGAGAAGAGATGGCTCTGCTAACTAACTCCTAGTGGCTCTCCCCATGCCTTACTACCCTCCTCCCCTCTAGCACAGATCTGCTCAAGAGAGCTTCATCAAGGCTATCTGCTCAAGTCCAATGGTCCCTGGGAATCAATCCCACTTAGTCTTTATAAGCCTCTGCCTTACACCTTGGGGTGAGGAGGACCCCTCACATCAAAGTAGCCGCCCTTGCCCTTGCCTCACTGAAAACAACAGATAAGAAGCCACTTCTTTGACTGAAACTACAGAGGGGGAAGGGCCTGTTTCTCTCCCTTTCTCCAACTCCTACAACCCAGGATGAGTGCAATTCAGGCTGGGGGAGATTAGACTCACCTTCTCCGCAACTCCCCAGTTACATGGTTTCCATCAAATCCAAACCACATTCAATTAAGGAAACAATTTCACTTACAATAGCATCTAAAATAATAAAATTGTTGTTAAGTGCCATTGAGTCACTTCTGACTCACAGCAACCCTGTATAGGGTTTCCAAGGAGTGGCTGGTGGGTTTGAACTGCCGACCTTGTGGTTAACAATCCAGTACTTATCTCTCCTACAGCATCACACCAAGATTACCCAAACAATAAAATACCTAGGAATACATTTAAATGAAGTGAGAATTTTATATAGTGAAAACTATGAAACATTGCTAAAAGGAATCGAAGGAGCTCTGTGGCACTCTAGGATTAGCACAGGACTCTGAACCACAAGGTCAGAGGTTCAAACCTACCAGCTGCATCTGGGAAACCCTATACACGGTCACTATGAGTTGGGACTGATTTGACAGCTCTGTAACAACAAATAAATGAAAATACATTTTTGCGTTCATGGACTGGAAAGCCTCATACTGTTAAGATGTCAGAACTACCACAGTGATGCACAGATTCAATGCAGTCGCTATGAAAGTTTCAACAGTGTTTTGGCAGAAATAGGATAGACAATCCTTAAATTCACAAGGAATTACAAGGGGACCTAAACAGTCAAAACAATTTTGGAAAAGAATTAAGTAGAACTCACACTTCCTGATTTCAAAACGACAGTGATCAAAATAGTATAGTTCTGATGCGTACTGGTGCAAGCATCGGCACAGTCCTGGTGGGGCGCTGGGGGTTAATGTGCTGGACTGCAGAGTCAGTAGAAACCACAAGGTTGGAGAACAAGCTCACCAGCCCTGGGTAGGAAACCCGAAACAGGGTCGCTGTTTGGTCAGAGCAGACCTGATGACACTTAACAACAACAAAAATAGGCCAAAACAATTGACTTCAGAGTTAGAAATGGCCAACTGAATTTCAACAAAACTGTCAAGTACATTCAATGAGGACAGAGCAATTTGTTTGGCAACTAGTGCTGGATTACTGCTTTTCCAAATGCATAAGAATTCAGTTCGATACCTACTTCATACCATAATTTACAACCAACTCTCAATAGATCAATGACCTAAGTATAACAGCTAAAATCATAAAACTCTTAGAAGAAAACACAGTGACGACTCTTCAGACCTTGAGAGGATTCGTAAATATGACAAGAGCATGAGCAATGTAAGAAAACAGATAAACGGGACCTCATCAATTTTTTTAAAACTTTTTTTGAGTTTACCATTCCTCGGCATGATTTCAGTCTATTCATTCATGCAAATGCCTACATTCTTAAATCATATATAAAAACGGAAACGACAACCCACAGAATGGGAGAAGCAGTTCACAAATCATATTATATCTAAAATATACAATAAACGCTTACAACACAATTATAAAAAAGACAAACAGTTCAAAGCCAGAAGGCACCAAAATACAGTATCATTTGTGATTAGGGAAATGCCAATCAAAAGCACAATGAGATACCATTTTATACCCCATGTTGTTGTTAAGTGCTGTCGAGTCGGTGCTGACTCATATCGATACTCTATAGGGTTTCTGAGGAGAGGATGGGTTTGAACTGCTGACCCTGTGGTTATCAGTCCAGTGCTTATCCTACAGTGCCAAATGACAATGATCCAAAATAATTGCTAAGCTATTGGACCACTCATTCATTGCTGGTGGGAATGGAATGGAAAAGAGTTTGGCAGTTCTTTAAGAAGATAAACATAGAATTATCTCATGACTCAGCAATTCCACATCAAAAAACAGGAAGCAGAGACTCAACTGGATATTTGTACACTGATGTTCATTGTGGTATTATTCACAATAGCCAACAGGTAAAAATATCCTAGATCTCCTTCAGCAACTGAGTGGGTAAGCACGATGTGGTATATCCATACAATGGAATATTCCCAGTCATAAGAGAAATGAAGTTCTGATACATACTACAATTTGGATCAACTCTGAAAACATGTGGAGTGCAATAAATCAATTACAAAGGGGCCAATATTTTATGATCCCAGATGGATCTAGAATAGCCATGGTATTGGAGGAGAATATTGAAAGTACCATGGGCTGCCAAAAGAACCAACAGCTCTGTGTTGGAAGAAGTGCAGTCAGAGTGCTCTTTGGAGGCCAAGATGGCCAGATTTCGTCTCTCATACTTCGGACATATTGTTAGGAGGGACCAGTCGCTGGAGAAGGATTATCATGTTTGGTAAGGTGGAGGGTCGGGGAAAAACAGAAAGACCCCAGGGAGATGGACTGGCAAAGTGGCAGTATCAATGGGCTCAAGCATGCCAACAATTGTGAGGTTGGCCCAGGACCAGGCAGTATTTCGTTCTGTTGTGCATAAGGTCGCTATGAGTCGGTACTGACTTGATGGCACCTAAACACCAACAGTAACATAGAGATGGAAGGAGACTAGAGTTGGTTGCACCACATGGTGATTGTAATAAATGTCACTGAGTTATACACGTAATGATGATCAAAATGGCAAATTTGAATCTGTATTTAACCACAGTAAATGGAGAGGGGTGTTTTGCCTATTTGCCACAAAAACTGAAAAAAGAGAGAGAGATCCTGGGCAAATGGACCATGCCATCCTCAACAGTTAATTCCAACGTCACATCAGTCCTTGTTAGAATATTAATCACATGCCAATTTAAGACATTTTAAACACACACACACCAGGAATCATTTTCCACAAAATTCCCTTTTTTAGGTCATCCTTTTTTTTTTTTTTTTAATTTTTTGTGTGAATTATGTGATACTTTACATGGGAGAACATTACCTTTACATTCATCCTATCATATCATTTCATTGCCATGGTTACCATACCATTGGTCATCTTTTTTTGAAAACAGAAAGTACCAAGAAATGCCAGTCACCACTCCGTGTCTCCCATACCCAGTGAAAGTCAGACAGCCCCTTAGAAGGTGCGTACTGCCCTTGAGGTGAGGAGAGCAGATGGACATACGTATAGGGAGGGGAGCTGGAGAAGGTGTTCAACAGACAGTGACAGGCTGGAATATGGTAATCCTAGCAAGGAAATGTGGGGGGAGGAGGAGAAAACGGAATGGGTTGAGATCTCAGTTTGCCTTTGAAGTGCCCCTGGTGGTCCCCACTTACCTGCTGGCTGGGGCAAGCTGCTCCAAAGCCCGCAGGAGGCTGCTTGCATTCTTGAGGCTTTCCAGGTGCTTATCCTTGGAGGTGATCTGAAAGAGAGGGAGAAGACTGGTCAGCTGACCCATTTCTGCTCATGCTCCTTGGCTAGGCACCCTTAGTGCAGACTGTGGAGACAGAAGATGCTGGTGAACCTTGCAGGTATAGAGTTTCCAAGGACTGGCTGGTGGGATTGAACTGCCAACCTTGTGGCTAGCAGTCCAGTGCTTATCCTACAGTGTCATACCAAGACTCAAAGATCACTTTTATTGATAACTGCCGTCGAGTCAGTTCTGACTCGTAGTGACCCTGTATAAGGTTTCTGAGGAGCAGCTGGTGAGTTTGACAATCTTCTTGTGATGCTTTCTGCATCATTCAGTATTTCACCAATAGAATCCTTCAATATTACAAGTCAAGACTTGAATTTTTCCTTCTGTTCTTTCAGCTGGAGAAATGTTGAGTATGCTCTTCCCTTTTCATTTTCTAACTCCAGGTCTTTGCACATTTCATTGTGATAGCTGACTTTACTTCTCGAGCTGCCCTGGGAAATTTTCTATTCATCTCCTTTCACCTTCCATTCGCTTGAGCTTCTTTAGGTTCAATAGCAAGTTTCCGAGTTCCTTCTGACATTCATTCTGTTCTTTCCTGTCTTTTTAATGACCTTTTGCTTTTATTATGTAGTATGTTCTTGATGTCATCCCACAATTCTGGTTTTTGGTCATTAGTGCCTAATATATCAAATCTGTTCTTGAGATGTCTCTAAATTCTATATTCAAGGTCTTTTTTTGGCTTATGTGGATTTGTTTTAATATTCTTCAGCTTCAGCCTGAATTTGCATATGAACAATTATTCCACATTTTGACCTGGCCTTGGTTTGGCTTTTCCAACATCTCTTCCCACAGATGAAGTCAAGTTGATTTCTGTTTATTCCATCGAGTGACATCCATGTGTACAGTCGTCTTTTATGTTGTTTAAAAAAAGTATTTGCAATGAGAAAGTCATTGGTCTTGCCAAATTCTATCATGTGATCACCAGCATCATTTCTATCACCAAAGCCATTTTCCAACTACTGATCCTTCCTTTTCATTTTTAACTTTGCATCCCAATCACCAGTGATTATTAATTCATCTTGATGGCATGTTTGATCAATGTCAGGCTGAAGAAGTTGGTAGAATTCTTCCATTTCATCATCACTGGTTTTAGTGGTTGGTGTGTAATTATGAATAATAGTGGTAACTGGTCTTCCTTTTAGGTCAATGTATGTTATCGTATTAAAGACAGCATTGTACTTCAAGATAGATCTTGAAATGTCCTTTTTGATGATGAATGTGATGCCTTTCTACTTCAATCTGTCATTCCCAGCAGAGTAAACCATGTAACCGTCAGATTCAAAGTAACCAGTACCCATTCATTTCAACTCATTAGTGCCTAGGACGCTGATCATTATGCATTGCATTTCATTTTTGACAACTTCGTACATTCCATGTTCCAATTATTAATGAATGTTTGCAGCTGCTGCTCCTCATTTTGATTTGTGCCCCATCAACAGTGAAGGTCAGGTGACCTTTGCTGCATTCATGTCATTATGCACAACTGTACTCTGAGGAAGAAGTTCTTCTCCAGTTTCTTTTGAGTCTCTTCCAACCTGAGGGGTTCATCTTCTGGCCTGGTTTTCAGCGGCTGGACATGCCTTTCCTTTTTCCTAGTCTGTCTTAGTCTGGAAGCTCCACTGAAACCTGTCCCATGCTGGTATTGAAAATACAGGTGTATACTTTCCAACATCACAGCAACACAACAAGCCAGCACAGTATGACAAACTGATAGGAACTAGTTATGTTGGAGCCCATTGTTTCAGCCAGTTTGTCAGTTCATCTTGCTGAGAGTGCGCCTCTTTCACACTGAACCTCGACTTCAGCAAACCTAATGTCCTTCCCCAGTGTCCCTTTCCACTGTGGTTCTTGATAAGCGCTCTCTGAAGAGAGCAGCTATATTTCAGTTAGCAGGCCAGTGCTTATCCTACAGCACCACACCAGGACTCTTTATTTTTTAATGTTTTATTATGAATTATGTGGTAGTGTACATGGGAGAACATCAGTTTTACATTCATCCTATCGTATATCGTTTCATTGCCATGCTTACAATCCCCTCCATGCATCATCAACCAACCAAAGGGTATACACTACAAGTCTGCCCCCTGGTTGTCAACACACAGCCCCTCTCCCTCTCTGTGTCTAAAGTCCCCAGCTGCTCCATCTCTCCACGTCATTGTCTCTGCCTCCATCTCAGGCAAACACCAGGACTCTCTTGATAACATGCTCAAAGTCTCACTGTCGTCACTTCCAAAGAACATGTCGGCTATACTCCTTGTAAGACACATTGGTTCATTCTCTGGCAGTCCACGGCATATTAATATATTCTTCACCAGTACCATAATTTAGATTGACAAGCCATTTCAGCAGTTCACGTGATGTGTGACCCTGTTCCCGCCAGAAAGCTGGAACCAGGAGTGACCCCACCCCTCAAGTGTCCTATGTCATATTCCATTCCATCATAGTGACCACGTCTAGACTATCATCTGTATTTCTGACAAAAGACTAAATATTTCTTAATTGTAATATTAAGAGGAAGGGCACAGGTAATCAAACCTTATCAGGGGCTCTGAATGACTTGTGGGTGAGATTGCATCTCCCCTGAGACCCTATCTGACTTTGGAATGTGCCAGAGAGCAGCTGCCAGCTCAACTGCTACAGGTGAGATTTCTGCAAGGATTTGCATTTTAAAAGAGCTGCATGCAAATCTGTTCTGAAACACCCAACTTGATGAGTTCAAAAGGTTGCTGCGGGAAATGTCAGCTGTGGTTCAATTCGGCCTGAAGTAAGCACCAACACACACTGAAGGAGCACTCAGAGGTCTTCAGGAAGGATTCTCACCTAACTTTTCTCAGCTCAGCTGAGCTACACACCCAGGCCACTCCACCAGTCTTGCTATACAAATGTGAGCTGAGCCTGGGCTTCAAGGAAATCTCTCAATAAGGTGCAAAGAAAGGACAAGACTATATTCACCCACCAGCCTAGTTCAAAAGACGCCAATGAAAAAATGGACCGAGAAGTCTGCGACCAAATGAAGAGACCAAAATAGTATTTAGTGCAGCTGACATAAATGTAGGTCTACACAAAGCCAAGAGAATTAATCAGAAAAAAAAATCATGCAATCTTGTCACGTAACTGAATTCTTGTTAGTAACAGCAACAGCTGTCCTACATATAAGGATCAATTAATTTGAAAATAACAAATTTAAATGATCTCCTTCAGAGCTTGCACCTTTTTCTGCCTCTGAATACAACCCTAAGATCTAGGCAGAATGTGTACCACAGCTATGGGAGAATCACAAGTAAACAGCAACAGATGGGCTACAAAAGACTGCAGTTCCAAAGTCCCACCAAACTGAAACATTGACTGCTTTTTCCCACACCTCAAACTCAACAATTCCTGAAACCCAGAAGTGAGCACCACAGGACAGAGAGACCTTTATGGAAGCCTGATGCTAGACGTGGGAAAGGAACTGCCCAAAGATCTGAGAGAGAAAAGAAAAGCGCCCAGAGTTCTTTCCTTTCCCTTCCTCTCTTCTCCAGCATTCCAGACTGAAGGTGGTTCTGGGGTGGCAGTGATGGCAGTGGTGACAGCAGTCAGTAACAAGAGGCTGTGTGGCCAGAGTCTTCTTCCTTTCTATCCTCCCACTGTTTGGCCCAGACAAGGCTCGGTCATAGAAGAGGCCAGTTATTGGCTATGTTGTTGTTCAGCACCGATTAGTTGGTGCTGACAGATAGAGACCCTGTCTAGGGTTTCTGAAGACCAGCTGGTGAGTTTGAACCTCTGACCTTATGGTTCAAACTGACTTTGTGGTCCAATGCATTATTCTGCAGACTATGTATGTATATGGTTTCCAAGGATGCACATCTTTATAGGAACAGAGACTCATCTGTCTCCTGCAAATTATTGATTATAGCGATCACTAAAAAGATTACACCAAGAAATATATTTAAAAAAACACAAAGTATCATTTAAATGTAACGTTCTAAAAAATGTTCTCATCACTTGAACCAAGGCAAGAAAAGAGAAGGCAAAAATCAAAACAGATGGGACAAACAGAAATCAAATAATAAAAAAGGCACACTTGCTTGTGTTGTTAAGTGCCATTCAGTCAGGTCTGACTCATAGCGACCCTGTATAGGATTTCCAAGGAGCGACTGGTAGGCTTAAACTACCAACCTTACAGTTGACCTTTCGGTTGACCTTGCAGTCAAGCGTAAATCCTGGTATATCAAGAATTAGAACAAATGTAATGATCTAAACACAGTATGTAAAAGACAGATTGTTTGAATGATTAAACAAGAAAAAAGACACAGCCCAACTCTATACTGTCTCCAAGAATCTGATGTAATTAAGAAGGAGCCCTGGTGGCATGGTGGGTTATGCACTGAGCTGCTAACCTCCACATCAGCAGTTCAAACCACCACAGGTTTTCTGCTCCTGTAAAGGTTTACAGCCTTGGAAACTCTATACAGGGTAACTATGAGTTGGTACCACCTTCACAGCAAACAAGTACCACTACCACGATGTAAATATGAGTCCAATTGAAGCTAGAGTGGATACATTCTTATCAGGCAAAGTAGTCATCAAAGCAAAGCAAACTACCCTGGACAAAGAGGGATACAGTATTTTGGTAAAAAGGTTGTCAACAAGATAACATAATAATGAATGCATGCAGCTAGCAACAGAAAATCTAGATCACAAAACAAAACCTGATACAACTGAAAGGAAAAAAAATCTACAATTATAGTTGGAGACTTCAAAACTTCCCTCATTGTATGAAGAAAGAACGAATACACAGAAAATCAGCAAGAATATAGAAAAACTGAACAACCAAGTGGTCTCACTGATCTTTGCAAAGCGCTGAATTAAGCAGCAGAATATATTTCCCCACCAATGTTCATGGAATAGTCACCAACATATCCAATATTTGGAGTCATAACACAAATCTTAAATGTAGGGGA